TTATACTTAGTAAAACCTGTTGGACACCACTCACTTCTATACTCCCTATAATTATATTAAAAATAGATTTCTATAAAAATACGAAATTTACTTCAAACCTGTGGCAAACTAAATTTTAGGATAACATAATCAACTTAATCTCAGGTATGACAGCGATCCAGACCCCTCCCCATCCCCCCGATCCCCCTGGATCCGCCACTAGTTCAATCATTAAAGATCATAAAATTGATATTATTAAACCTTTACCTTTAGGGTAAGCTACCTGTCAAATGGATGGCAATCGAATCCCTAGAAGACTATGTGTATACAGTGCAAAGTGACGTGTAAGTATGGTATACAAAGAGTTTTCACTCAGTTACCAAGCAAGCCATATTGGTGTGCCAAATAATAGAAACTTTCTGCACAGGTTTTGCAAAAAAGTAGAGTTCAATTCAACGAGGATAGAAAATGTATCGTTTTGGTACACCATGATGGCCGCTGTGAGGTCACGCGAAAACGCTCTATAGGATGCCTTGTAAACTTAGAGGCTGTTTAGAGGCTGCATGGTCACATAACAAGCCAAAAAAATTCAACATGACAATAATCATAACTTCCAATAAAATAGAAACAAGTCAATAAAAGTTGGATTTTATTGTTTGATTTTTTAACAAAGTGATTACATATTCAAAAGATTAACGACCTTTATTTGCATGTCCAATCATTCTTTCTGGCTTTAGCTATGATTAGAACACAAAGTGAACTGAATTGATTTATATAGTGCTATTTTTCTTTGTTCTAGTTAGTATCCAAACTCAAGTTTCGAAATCTATATAAATTGTTCAAACTTTAGTTGTGTTGGCCATCTTGAAAGGCATGTTAGGGCTTACCAAGATGTCGGATATCAACTGAAATTTGGAAGAGGTGTCTTCTGTCTATAGGTTTTTGGCAGATTCAAAGATGCTGATAGTTAGAACCATAGTTATTCATCTTTCTTTTTCTTCTTCTCGTGTTTTCAGTTGGTCTTATGGCGTCGTTTTGTGGGAAATAGAAACTTTTGGTGAGTTTTAAAATCATTTTGTTTATGGTAGACTAGTACATTAGTCAATACGTTGAAGTTCAACTTTGTTCAATTTCCAAGGTCGCATTCCTTATCCAGCTATAAGTGGGCTTGAATTGCTGAGCAATCTGCAACATGGATATAGACTTGAGAAGCCTGAAGAATGTTCGAATGAAGTGTAAGTGTATTAGTGTGTTCCGTTGTTCTCAGACCCTGAATCGAAATATAAAAGAAAGGAGAGCTCACTTGCAAATTTTAATGGTTTATGGTAGTATTTTGGCCACTACGTCCGTATTTGTTAAGTATTTCTGTTGAGCTTGATCTTGTCTTTGTAGTTAATTTTCATACATTGTATGTGTTTTTTAATGGTTGCAATCGTACTAAAACGTAACAATTCACCTATAACAAGAATTTACTTTATTTTAGGTGCCAAATTATGATGGACTGCTGGCAAAAAGATCCAAGCAAACGCCCCAAATTCACTGACTTAACAAAGAGGATCTTACTTTTGCTTAAGGACGTCCCTGTAAGTATATATCACGATCCTGTAAGTTTATGYGSACTRAAAGAAATGTAATGTTCAATTCCGTCTTTCTTAAAGGGACACGAAGATGTCGTGTCACCCGAAGAATTGCACGATGCCTCCTACGACGAAGTGGTTATTGATGAATCATTCCTAGCAAAGACACACGAAGATGAACGAGCTCTGACAACTGAAGAATTCAACAACACTTCTTACGACCAAGTGGTCATTGATGAATCATTCCTAGCAAAGACACACGAAGATGCACGAGCTCTGACAACTGAAGAATTCAACAACGCTTCTTACGACCAAGTGGTCATTGATGAATCATTCCTTGCCCAAGAAGAAGAAGAAGAAAAGGARGTCAAAAGCATAATCGATAAACCTAGTGAGATAGTATTAAATATCATCGAGAATGAGGAAAGTCAAAGATACGTTGAACATCCAGGRCCACCAGCAAATGTGACCAAAAACCACAAAAACAAGAGTGACGAGTTTGAGCCACAAAAAAGCATTATGTCACTTGCGAATCCGGCTTATGGGATGATAAATGAAGAATCCATCTCATAATATGACTYTCACATTTCCACTTGAAAACTTATATGCATATATATGTTGTATAAGAATCCTGAATGAACAAAATGAAGCTACTTCGAAATCGGACTATATTTGGTAAATAAACCTCTTCTTGCCGTTGGGATAACCGCTGATGATGTCCGAGGGTCAGGAATAGTCTGGAGGAAAAAAAAAACAATTGGCCGAAAAGTGAAGCATCGATCTAGAGCATATRTAAAATTTTGAGGACAATTTCTCACACAAGGACATTATCAGCCGATATGTCAGTGAGCGAGAAAGGACTCATTATTTAATAACCCAACGACTTTACTGGCTGGATTCTACTAACTGAAAGCTATATATGTTCAGCATCATCTCTAGAGGATTGAAAATGTTCCTCTCTCGTCTCCAAGCTGGACATAAGTACGATTTCGTTGCAATTGGTAAATGAAGACTTTTTCCATTGTTTGCTATTCGTCGTTAATTTGTTTTTAGCTGGTAGTTTATAAAAGCGAGTTGGAAAACAACCCAAAAAAATKCATCAAATGACCATGAATCTGCCTTATCATCAATCACGGTTGGGCACATAGTTAATAGATATAGCTGAAGAGATATAGCTGAAACAATAATTTTTAAAATTCCAAATTCCCGTTATTTTGTGCTATTTTTGTAACAAAATGGCGGATTTTCAAATTTCAAAAACCCATATCTTTTTTATTGAATAACAATATATGGGAGGCATATCTCACCAACTCACTCTTTGCTACTTTGATTCTTACTCGAAACATATACAGAATGTCATAGACTATTTTTGTCTTCTATAATCTACAAAACTAAGCTGTATATAATATTTTGTAGTTGCTTTTTTAAAAATAAAAACCATCATTGACAAYTTCTTTGTAATGTACCCTTTGCATGTGATGTTTGGACCAATATTTTGCGAGCTACAGCAAMTCTTTAAAACGTGAAGAACACAGCAATAAAAAACACGGAGAAGCCATTAAAAGTAGGAGAGTTAAGGAAAAAAATAGAAAGAAAAGAAAACCTCTTCGTATACARGGATATATCCAGGGGTTTTATCTTAATAATAATACAGGTGGAATAAAGCTATCATCAGCAGTCGCAAAAGCAAAAGCGAGGCTAACATGAAAATACAAAAGATATCATACTTTTTCTCGATGGAATTGGGGGCATTTCTTTTGTATTTCCATGTTGATATACATAGCGTCGTATTCAGGACAATTTAGAGAAGGCTCCATTACAACTCCAATAATGCTGTAGGAATCATGCAAAACTGTATTTGTTAAATATTTTGTAATTTTATTGATTATCGATGAATATTTACCGAGCCACAAGTGTTCCAGCGGTGAGTTAAATATTCACTGATAATCACCGAAGCTRCGGTGACTAATTATCTTAGTGTCGTAGCACAAATGATTCTTTGAAAGAAAGTAGAGAACAGAGGTTTAGTTCTAAAATTTATATTTATTTCGTATTTTGAAAGCGCGAACACGCATCGACGAACACACATCGACGAACGAAGCGCGCGCAATTTTCTATTCATATGTAAGTGATTATCGAAAWATGATAAGAAATTAATATAACCTAATGTCTACAAAGTAGATAGATAGTTAAGTATGCGATAGATCATTCAAAAATGGGCACGCTTCGAAGCACCGATACTAATGGACGTCTATTAACGACGATCAACGAAAATAATAATACTTGAAGAAACACCAGTCACTCCAACTTTTTTGTTTTTTTTCTGAGATACCGCTCTGTTGTTTTATAGAGATTTTTTTTTTTTTGTCCTTGTACAAACAATATGACTTTCTATCAACGACAACGAAATAGGTTTGTAAAGATTTTGTTGCATGTTTCATGCCAAAACCAAACTGCACGATGTGAATTCAATAAGCAGAAGGTCAAAATGATACGAAATTTTCCGAAACTTGTGTGCGCGTTTGTCCGGCATAATTTCTTCTGTGCTGAAATTATTTACAGATATATAACACATTTCAAGCTTAATATGCACGGGAACATACAAGATGCAAAATGCGCATGCAACAAAAGCTTCACCAAACGTTTTTGAAATAGCTGCAAGTATGCAAAGTGTTCGCCTTGTTTCATTCTCTGATTGAACCATGACCCATCTAGCTGTAATAAACACTCATACATTAAAAGCTTTTCAAGAAAAACTACAGGCAGGTTTTTAATAGCTGTCCAACAACTTGTTGCTCTCCTCGTTTAAATTAATCACCAGCTCAGGGTCTTCATAGTAGTTATTTTTGCTTTCTTTTTTCTCTTCSCTCCAAAATAAATTGTCGATTTTAATTTCGCCCTCAGAGGGTTCGATTTTCTCCTGTGACAGGATTTCMTTGTACTCCTTAAGAAAACAAAACAAACACATAAAAAGAAAGAATGAAAAATATAAAAATTGAAGTTTTTTACTTTTAGGAAAATGCATAAAAGGAAAAAAGAAGTGTAGAAACAGGAATGGAAGAACTAGGAAAAAAAAAAGATTTAAGATTTAAAAAAAGATTTAAGATTTCAAAATTGAGAATAAAGAAGACAGAACGAATGTCTCGATGTCTTAAAAAAACTATTATATTTATTGCAACAAGCTGAATTGAGGCGCTTCAGTACGTAATCGATTTTTAAGGACATGTTTTCTAATGCATGTCGCAATGAAATACCAAACTCCTTGTTAAATTGTAGTACTTACAGGACATTCCTCCAACATCGTCGAGACTTTTGTCACTAACTCGCTGAATCTTGGACGTTTGTCAGGATTCTCTTGCCAACACTCTAGCATGATCTSGTATCTATTATTTGTGTGCAATATTGATATCATAAATTTTATTAAGATTATACAAGATTTTTTTTAAGATCATACAAATGGCCAAGAGAGTGAAGGAATCCCCGATCATGAGCACTATATAATACTATTTCTATTTAGAAACCTTCATGTTCATTTTTTTTTTTTTTTTTTTTTAAATTTTTTTTGACTGAGAGGCATATGCGACCTTGTCTGAAATAATTTGAAGCAAATTAACATGATTTTTTCCCTAAGATAAATCCAGGCTAAAAATTGAAGCAAACGCGGTGACTATGATATTCACTACAAGCCTAAATTTTCTCTTGAAATGGTTTATTACTATTTAATATTGTTCATCTGACTTACACTTCTTCGGTGCAGTCATCTGGTTTCTCCAGTCGATATCCATTTTTAAGCTTGTTCAACACTTCATGCCCATTCAAACCCGGGTAGGGAATGTGACCTGTATTATATGCATCAGGTTAAATACACTTAATATTATATGGATATTTATGATACAGGGTCTGGAAGGGGAGGTCCGAATCCCGAATCACGCGCTATTKTTTCCCGAAATCCCGTGTCCCGCRACTATTATAAGCGACGAACAAATGCAACATATTCAAAGGCGTTTGAATATTTATTYTATATATTAATGTTTTATCAGGTTTTCCCCGAAAATYAGAAAGCAAAATCCCGCATTCGGCAATCCCCGAGTCACGGCCTATGCCAATATCCCCGATGTCTAGTTTCCCGAATCCCRCGCTATATTTTATCCGTTTYYCGGCTCCCGCGAATACCCTTTCGGACCCAGATAACAAAGATTTGACCCGGAAGTGCTTGGGATCACAAATTTCAGGTTTACGTGTATTCATATTTTGATAGCAGCAGTTACTTACCCAAAGTCTCAACTTCCCACAARACAACACCATATGACCAACTGAAGAGGGATAAGATGATAAAAGAACAAATAAAGTAAGTTGACCGTCCAAATCATAATATTAACAAAATAAGTCTTCTTTATGACATGCCTACACGTCATAATCACTTTGTACTGTATAAACATGGTCTTCTATGGATTCTATATGGCATACTTACATGTCGTTTTGTACTGTATACACATAGTCTTCTAAAGATTCTATATGACATACTTAAATGTCGTTTTGTACTGTATACACATAGTCTTCTAGGGACCGATTCTATATGACATACTTACATGTCACTTTGTACTGTATACACATAGTCTTCTA